ATTTATGTAAAAAACGAAAAAATTAAATGTATATTCTTGAGTGGTGAATATTAATAAATTATTTTATTTTTAATTGTTAATTAAAGGGAGATTACTTGTTTTTATTTAAACAATAATATAAATTTAAATTCAAATTAAATTAAATAATTAATTAAATAAATAAATACTAATTAACTTTAAAAAATAAATCGCAATTTAGCTCTGTTATATTACATCGAGCACTATTTTATTAACACCAGCAGTATATGTTCGGTATATATATATATATATATATATATATATATATATATATATATATATATATATATATATAGTTAAGTCACGCACATATATAAGGATATAAGAAATTTACATTTGGATGTGTCTATTTATTTATGGCTTTGTATCACATGCATATAAGTGCTTTTGCCGATGTTAGGCTCAGTAGATAGAACAATTCGACTATTCACTTCCTATTAGGAAGAAAGACGTCAAAGTTTATTTTTTGTTTTTGTTTTGTATTGCAAAAAAGAAAAAGTAAAAAAATAAATAATCACATTTACATAAGTTATCGTCCATTTTTTTTAACCCAACAATGAAAAAAAAAGATTACATCATTCATCACACGTTTATTGATGTCACATACACACTTAGAGAAATATTATTGCCTGAAGTGTCGAAAAAAAAAAAGAATATATAAAAACATAAATGACTCAGTGAATTAGTTATTCAATGTATTTGCAACACACGCCAACCAGCCAACATGGTCTGTCTTGTCGTGCGGCGATATTTTCTTTTGATTTTCCGACAAATAAAATGAGCGTTAGTTTTAATGGCATCAACGAAACAGTCGAAAGGAAAAGGAGATGAAATCAAAAACTATCTCAGTCTTAACGGAAATAATTTCGCTTTGAGAAAAATTGTTCTAAACTCTTAGCTTTTTTTCTTTCTTTTTTTGTAAGATGTTCAATGATTTTTCTTTTTATATATTCAATAATTTCTTTTGTCTTTCTCCCGATAAAAGATTTCTTTTTCACGCCTGGAATAAGTTTTCTTAAATTACTTAAAAGATGCGATATTTATCGAAAAATATGCTTATTTTTACTCGAATGCTAATGATTTATACTCAATATTTGTTGCTTTTTATCTATCTATCTATCTATCTATCTATCTATCTATCTATCTATCTATCTATCACAATGTGCTCGAAATTATCTGTTAACTTGCTTTGCTTTTACCCCAACCTCTTCCTTAGTTCTTTATTTATATATTTATTTACTCATTTATTTATTTCCTTCCTTGCTTCATTCCTTCCATCCTTCCTTCCTTCCTTTGCCCTTTCATATATGTACATCTCCATCCCCTCTGATTTAAACGTCTAAAATGTCTATATATATATATATATATATATATATATATATATATATATATATATATATCACAATTTGTACATATCTGTTGATCACTTATAGCTTTCTTAGTATATTCAGATCTGTTTACTGCTTGTCATGTATACTTTCTTGTGTTCATTCTTTCTTTCATCCTTTATTTATTTTCAGTTTCATATCTTAATCTGCAGCTACCATGTTCCATATCTATCTATCTATCTATCTATTATATATCTGTCTATCACAGTTTGTTTATGTATCGCTAATTTTCAACTAGTTACACTGAGTTTGATATTTTTTCAATTATCTATGCAATTTCCTATATATCTGACACAGTTTCTTCTTCTCTGTCTAATAAGAAACTCATTCGTCGAGTATATACCGGTATTCGCCTTCCATATTGGTTCCATCAGTATTGCAGGCGCAAATGGGCACAAGATGAACTCCATCACTAAAGCGTTGATCTACACAAGCTACAAGTATTGAAGTTATGCTGCAGGCTATGAACGCAGGCTCGGTGCATATTGTCTTCCAAATATCCACTTGTTCCGTAATACTTGTTTTGGGAAAGCATAGGGAAATACCAAAGACATTCAAATACTCTTTAATAAAGTCTGTCCTTGCCTTATGAATGAACTACCATCAGAGTACAATTGAGATTGATAAATGGAGAGAGACATTGCAACATAAAATCTACCAGGCAATACTGATCTGTTACGTGACATCTGTTCTTCTATACGGCAGCGAATATTTGACGATTTCTTCAAAGATAAAGAAGAGACTCGAGGCGACGGAGATGTGGTTCTACAGAAGGATACTAAGGATATCATGGACCGAGCCTGTGAGCAACGATGAGGTCTTAGAGAGGATGCAAACAAGAAGGAGGCTTGAACTTAACATCAGGAAGAGGCAGCTGAAGATCCTGGGACACATAATGAGGAAGGAGGGTCTGGAGTATCTGATACTCACAGGGGGATTAGAGGGAAAGAGAGACAAGGGAAAACAACACGTGACATACCTAGCGGGTTTAAGCAAGTGGATGACCGATCTGGTCTAGAGGAGGTGGGAGAGGGACGAAACTTGAGAGCTGCAAGGAATAGCGGGAAGTTGGGAATCATTATCGCCTACGTCCTGGAAGGACACGACACATAAAAAGAAAGAAACATAAACACCACTTCTTTTTGTAAATGTCTCCATAGCTTTATCTCTTTGCTTAAACTCTTAGTATTAGGTTGGTGCGAAAATAATGACGTAATAATGTCGTTTTTTGACGTTAAAAAAATACGTCAAAAAACGACATTATTACATCATTATTTTTGCACCAACCTAATATAATATTGTGATTTTCTAGACGTAGCTTATATGTGGTACAAGGCCAAAAGTATGCGGCTCCCAATGAGTTTCGAGCTCACTATCCAATTGTAATTGATATAGCAATAAAAGCTTGCTAACCATTACACCACGTCGTAGTGCTTAAATATATCGTGATTTAGTAGGGGCAATTTACTAATGGCACAAGATCAAAAGCATGGAGAATCGAATGAGTTCTCATGATATTATTTGATGTAAAGGCATTGTAATAGTCTCTATTAGTGGGACTGAGAAATGTATTCTTTACTCCGCCGTGTACGCTGCCATCACTGTGCAAACACAAAGTTATGTTAGAGCACTTCGCATTAATTTTACTAATTCTTACTTCGTATTTATGACGATAGATTCGTCATGACAATTACTACATCAAAACGGATATACGCATGGCACTAATCTAATATATTAAATCAAAATGAAATAAAAAATTTGAAATTCTGGCAAAGCGAAAGACATTTCAAGGAGGAAAATCCTGTTCTATATACCGGATACAAGGAATATATATATATATATATATATATATATATATATATATATATATATATATATATATTTCCTCCTGCATGGAGAACTGGCCACTGTAAGTAGACCCACTCGAGGGTCACAGCTGGGGTACCGCGATGTCGTGAGGCGCGACATCAAAGCTGTGGATATCAACAGAAAGTCCTGGGAGAGCCTAGCAGCCATACGATCCAAATGGAGAACTGTCAATTTGCTTTCTGCGGGGGAGCCTTTCTGTGGCAACTTGTGTTAGCTTCTCCTCTCCTGGCCAAGCACCTCAATTCAGGAGAGGAGAAGCTGACACAAGTTGCCACAGAAAGGCTCCCCAGCAGAAAGCAAAGTGACAGTTCCAACAGACCAGAGACAGAACACACATGCGACCTCTGCAACAGAGATTGTCACCCTCGCATCGGCCTCTACAGTCCCATACTTCGATGCTTCAGCCAAGCAGGCAACTAGGATGCTACCCATGGTCAACCCTGACCGACGGAGGCCTACACTTAGATTTCCTCCAAGCGTTCTTTTTAAGAATGTCACAAATATTATTATCTTAAAATTAATCTTACAAGATTTGCGGTATTTTTATCGAAGCATATTACCTTCTTACCAAAAGTCTGCGTCTGTCACCCTTCCTTAAATCTTTGAGCCCAGATCACCGCTTCAAAATAGCCTGTTCTTTCTTTGAAAGGAAAAATAGAGCCAATCTATTAACCACTAGCAACATGTCCCGGCGTTCCCCGTGCTTGATTCAAAAATCGTACGACTCATACAGCAATCGCTATCACTTGACTTAAAATATTTTTACCCTTCCTTGCCTTTAAAGGAGTGCCCTTTGCCGTGCTGATGTTGCTACATGCCTTACTTCTTGCCTATCTCACACTGCGAATATTTTCTAAGCTCTATACCAAACATTAAATCTGTTACGAAAAAAGAACTAAACAAAATGAACACAAAACGATCAGCTTTAAAAAAGGACACGTAACTGGAAAAACCGAATGAAAAACGAATATTAACAACAAATACTTTTTCACACCCAACACAGTTCTGCGGAATCACAATCAACGTTGAGTTTAAGCAAGCGAATTAGCCAATTGGAGTAAAGTGCAATGCAGATTTAAATTTTCCCCACTTGTGACGAATGCAGCTATTGATTTTTTTCTTTGCATGCTAGCATGCTAGTTAACATTCGTGTCAGTCAGCTGTTGGCTCTCACGCTGGCCAATAGAATCTTCCTGCCTATTCGTTGCAGCCAGCTATAGACTCTCACTCTGGCCAGTACAAAATGGCCGCAAACTACATGAAAACTGCCGTAGAAGCATGAAAAAATCGATTATTTCCACTATCGATGGGAGTTGGGAAATGCAAAGTCGGTGTTGGCCTTTCTATTAACCTGGAGCATGTGCATGTAAATTTAGGTGCAAATCCGTCGAATATTGCGGCCGTGCATTCGTTGCACACACACACACACACACATCTGCCTTTTATAAATAGAGATTATCAAATACCACACACACACACATATATATATATATATATGGAGGAAGATAGAGAGGGAAACACACATACAATGACAAATAGAGAGTTAGTTAATGGGAGTTTTGGGGGATTTATTAATTGTTTACGTCTTATCAACCCGTTTTAGTTTATTTAAAGCACCTAAATATTTTTAGCTTGTACGAATTATTTTTTTAGATAATAATGGTGATACATTCGATTCGAACCGATTCCGAGCCATTATCCATTACACCACCCGCACATCCAAGTTTACAACACCTAGTACTCCCAAGCGGTCACTCATCTAGGTACTGACCAAGCTTGACGTTGCTTCACTTCGGTGATCGTGCGGGAAGTGCTGTTTCAACTTGACGTGGCCGTAATCCTGTGAATGCGGGGAAGAAGAGAACATTTTATACATATACTGAATTAAAGAAAATATTAATATTTACGTAACATTAACGTATATCAATTAAACATAGGCATTTTGTGCTTTATATATCAATCTATATGTATGTTAGTGTGTGTGTTTTTACGAATGTGTGCATCTGCTTGTGTTGCAAAATTTTAACACACTGCGCACCTTTATTTTGGTATGTATCTATATGTATCTTTTTATGTGGATTGATAGATAAGTCATTATACGTATTCACAAACTCTACACTGTCATACGATAATAGTAAAACAGTTACGAAACATTTTATTGAATTTCACGTTCCTGTTTTCTACAAACGGTCAATTATTTCTAATCTCTACGGGGAGTTTTAAAGTAAACATTAAAATTAAAATCTCTCAAGTCTGTCAATCGGAGGTTTTTGTTTCCGGCTTTATTCGCCTAATTTCCCTGCAGATAATCAGAGAACAGACTTAAAATTTTCCTTCTTGGGAAATGGTGGCACTAATAATAAAGCCATTAAAAGCACTCTGGAAACTCAAGATAAGACATCGCTGAGTACAACAAAAGCCAGTATGTCAACTGTGAAGAAAAAGCCTTGAAAATAATTCTAGACATTGTCTTTCTGGAACACTAACATTTTTTTTTTATTGCGAAGCAGTTTCACTATTTGGTAAATTTTAGTGTTTAATAATAAAAAAAAAACGACAGAGAAAATAACAGTTGTTTTTCACAGAATTGTTGTAAGTAAAAGCTTCAAAATTCTCGAAATATTTAGTATTGTATTAGGTTGGTGCAAAAATAATGACGTAATAATGTCGTTTTTTGACGTATTTTTTAACGTCAAAAAACGACATTCTTACGTCATTATTTTTGCACCTAAAATTCTCAAAAAATATTTAGTATTTTAGTTATCACAAATTTATGCAAATTTATTGTGCTAAGCTACGCACCCTAGTAAATACATCTGTACTTTGTACCCCCTTACCTGTTAGCATTTCTCCCCAGAATTTGGTTTCGATCGGTCAGCGTATGGCTATTTTAGAGGGTGTGATTGACAGACGGACGGACTGACAGAAAACACAGAATTTTATATATAGATAGATACACGAGGCATCACCTTCATGGTACGTTTTTTATTCCGTTTAGCTTGCTCATCTTGGTTGTTATAATCAAAACCTTTCAATTGTTTTAGTCTCCGTCCTTCTTCAGGTGTGGCTTCGAGTCCCATAACCTTCTTGGAATTTTGACCTGAAACTTTTATTAAGTGTTTGGTAGGATGCAAGGAAAAATTTCGCATGATAAGCTACCTGGGTCTACAATTAGCGATTGGTCATGGAGGCATTGGAAGAGGAAAAAAAACCTTTTCTTTCTTGGCAACTGAGTCGATTGGGGGGGGGCTTTGCCGCACTACATCTATTCCGCAGTTGCAGATGCGACGCAGCAAATAATAGAGAACTTCAACAGTCGGCATATGTTCTAAACCTGACACTCATTTGTTCTGCTTCATTTATGGTCTCGGCAACCGTTTGCAAAATTTCCTCAAATATTCTTCGAATGAACACCGAAAGCACAATTTAGTTGGCAGGGAAAAAAAAAAAAAGCAGAAAAGATAATTCTTCAATGATAGTACTCCTGATTTATATGAAATAGTTTAACAAAAATATAAGGAATTCTAGTTTGTTTTTTGTTTTTTTCAGCCTATTAAAAGGTCATAAGAAACAGTATTTTAGGGCGCTTCACGTGAGGTAATAATTAACAAGCGTTGTCTCCTCTGATTTGCTACTATTTTAGGAGTTCAAGCTTCACTTAATTTTATGTGCTGTGTCTGTTCAGGACATAGGCTATCACAGCCTTCCACATCTTCCTGTCTCTTGTAGATCTTAATATTTTACTTTGCTGTTTGACTCTGTCCCTCTTTCCTTCAATCTCTCCCATGAGTATCAAATTTTCCAAGCCCTCTTTCCTCATTACGTGTCCCAGTAATTTCAACTACCTCCTCCTGATGTCAAGTATAAGTTTCTTTTTTGTTGCGATTCTCTCGAAAACAACGTCGCTACGCACATGTTCGTCTCATGATATCCTCAGCATCTTTCTGTAGAACTACATTTCTGCTGCTTCAACTTTCATCCTCATTTTTATCGAGATTGTCCAACATTCGCAGCACAATGGGGAAAAAACTGGCTGGTCACATTCATTGCCTCAAAGCTAAATTATTAACCTTCCACTATTTACTATCGAAGTTAGATTTTTCACCAGTCGTGATGAACTGATTTTCCCTTAGGGAAGCCCTCTCCCTTTTGTGTCTGTTGTGACTTAAGGCTTAAAGTGGGATTCGTACACACGGCCCATTGTTAATGGTGCTAGAAAAATAAAGCTCGCTTCCCTGATAACCTCTTCTCCTGATAAACTCTACTTTTACAAGAGCTAGATCCGGACGAAAATGGAGTACTGCTGGCATGTGCCTAATCCTCAGATTCCGGTTTCGATAGAGTTCAAAAGCATTTCCGTGTCCTTGTAGGCGACGAATTATTTTCCACTTTGCAACCCATTTCTTACAGACATGAAGTCGCAAGACTCTTGATGCTCTATAGCTATTTCTATGAAAAGTATTCAAATGAACTACGCTACAGCTAAGACCCACTATGCCACGCCTATTTTAACAAATCACCCTCATTACCTTCGTATTCCCCTGGTGAGATATAAGTTCCACTCAAGCAGCTTTTTCCCGCCTTTTGGAACCGACTACCATAATTTTGCTTCCTCGCTCACTACAATCTTAACCTGTTCAAGTTTAGGGTTAATCTCTTACCTTGCAACCCTCTACCGCCAGTAAGACTTGGGTCTTGCATACAGCGAACACTACTGTAAAAATATTACATTTAAGACCAGCCATGCCATGTACACGAGGTCGAATTATTGTCTTCCTGTAAAAGGAAGTTCAACTCGGACAGACTCCCAAGATGATGCTTCTCCGATCACTATGATCTTAACCTCTTCACGTTTATCAATTTTCTCTAGTCTAACTATCCTCATAATATTCACTTCTTACTTCCACCTCTTAGGTCAATTAAAAAAATGCATAATTCAATTAGACTCTAACTTGAATGACTCTTGAGGATTTTATTGAATGAAAATAATGTAAATAGCATACCATAGACAGGTCCTTATATAGACAATATCAAGTGATGGTGAAGAGCACAGGGATGTTGATTCATGCCTTTCACAATGTTATGAAGTCTACATAAACTATCACAATCCTAAGTCGAAGCCACTTTCCGAATTTTGTGCTGATAAAACCTCATGCCATCACACCCCTCCCTAGGCAGACGTTGTGAACTGATATAGGTTTAAATATTTACTGTCAGAGTGAGCGTAATCACCCAAAATACCAGTGATTTCAGAGTTCATGTCGAAAAGGCGACGTAGGACTTCGGATTTGTAAAGCCTGAAAATAAATTCGCCATTTGTTCGTATAAATACGGAAACATTATCTTTCTCTGTGTGTACGATAACAACCACAGACGAGCCGATGTCGTATTTAAACGTAAGCAAAGACACTATCGATTCGCATATAAATGCCATTAATCATAAAATGAAAATTAACCGTCGTTGAAATCAGATCAGACCAACATCTCGCTCGTAAGTCTTTTCTCAGCCTCTCTAACTTCTCTTAGCCTCTCTGACTCATTCCCTCTCTGTATGCCTGTCTCTTTCTTTCTTTCCTATTACTCCCTATCTATCTCCCTTAAATCTCTTGGTGGAGTAATGGATAGCGGCTTGGATTGAGGAATCGGAGAGCCGAGTTCGAATTCCAGTCGAATCCATTACATTCACTTACCTGCTAACACCCTTTGGAAAGGTGTGAATCATCTTCTTCTCCCCCCAGCTATGGGTAAATAGCAGGACAGACTGGGTTCTATAGCCTTGGGTGGCAACCGGTCTAGGAGAAGGAAAACTCTGAATTCAAACCTGCTCTTAGAGGAGGGTGAATGGAGTCTCTCTGAGCCTTGGTTGGCAATCCATTTAGTGATGGTGTCACGATAAAAAACACCATTGATAGCCCTAGCAAAGCATCAAGAATTCAGCTATTTGACAAGATTATGAACTACACCAATCAAAGTATTAGTGAGTTCAATCTCGGCTGTGGCTGCAAGATGATGATGATGAAATCTCTCTCTCTCGTTTTTACAATTACTTTCTTCGTTTAATCTTCTGACTATTCTTTCAAACTATCGGCTAGTGTGAAAGTTAACGTAAGAGTTATCAACACAAAAAATGGCAACTGGCAGATCGGTTTCAAATTCCAAATAGGGCTGTAAATATTTACTTGGCTCTTGCACCTTGTCATATCGCCAGTAATTTTGAAAAATTCTCGTCGCTGCTATGCCCCGAAAAACTGATTGACTGAGTACACAAGTAACACCACTCCCTATATAATTACTTTCTTAAACAAGATATTATCTGACAGTAAAATATTATGACACTCATTGTCATCCTTGACAATAGCCAGACAATGTAAGGAACAAGGTCTAATTGAAAAGGAAAATAGTTGCATTGTGCCAATTTTGCAAAGAAAAAGGCTTACGTGATTGCATTGAACATCTGTATAAGAAATACTTGGGTTCGAACTTCGATCTCTGTTGCTAGTGGAAATACGGGACCATCTCAGCAAAGAAAGTTTCCTAAACATAACTTAGTCTGGCACAAGACTAAGATTTCTAGCAAATTATCTGTTTTGCTGAACAAATAACCCTTTATGACAGGCGTTCTATATTGGTAGGTGTCGCGAAGTAACAGTGCATTCTTTTATGTATCAAGTTGTTTCAGGACTTAGGCGATCAGAGATTTCCATAACGTCCTGTCTTTTGTCTAGAAAATCTCTCAGCTGTTACCATCTCTCTTTGTACTTGTTCTGCCATCCATTTCCACAGACTCGTTAAGTATGTTATTAACTGCCTTACACTGTATTTTTTACTGTATGTCCT